ACTTGGGCAGTGCCTCCACGAAAAGCAGCACTTATCCAGGACAGTCCTGAGGGCAGCAGTTTCTTTCCCTGAGTCCCTGGGCTCGGAAAAGGGACTGGAGCACCATCCCACTCAAAGCCAGATAATCCTCCAACCCACAGCATGCTCCTCACTTCCACCCAGCAATGGCAGAGAACAGAGAGGGCAACAGAGGGGTTTTGCTCACTCTTAACAAAGCCACAGCCACCAAAGGCCAGAGATCCTCCCCCCAGCTGAGCAGAACAGCTCCCAGGTCCATTAGGTGCCCCCAGAACGAGGAGGAACTCTCCTCCCTGGAGGTCCCCGCAGCACTCACCGCCCTTGAAACTTGGTGATCGGTAAATATCCCTGAGCTCCTTCATTAGCCGGTCGGTGGCCTGCACAGACCCAGACACTGCACCCTGTGAGGGAGGGGAGGGGGGAAGTTGCACTGTTATGCTGTACCCACCATGGCCATTGCTCTACGAGGTCAACACCTAAGCTACAACCCTGTCCAGCCTCTGTAGCAGGCCAGTCTGCCCCTCACTTCTCAGTCCATCCCTTGTTCCAAATACGCCACCTCAGGCAGCACAGCTGCAGCAGAAATGCCTCCGTGTGCTCTCTACTGTCTAAAAATCTCAGCCCAGAGGTACAAAAGTAAAATCCAACAGCTGCCTCTAGAGCCTCAGGTGAGGGTGCAGCTCCTGGAGGCAGAGGAGATGCCCAAATCTCACCACAGGAGGGCCACCCCACGTAGCACCAACGACTTGGGGGCATCCTCTGGGAGCTGCAGAGACAGATCACAGACTTCTCTGCTTCAGCCCCACCAGTTCTTGAGAGCCACTGTTGTACCTTTGGCTGGGGATGGCCCCTGATTTAGGGCTGGAGGGCTGGCAGGTGCCTCAGTCGCTCTTGCCCCTGGGTCCCTCTGCTCCCCCAACCCGCCTGCCTGCCAGGCGACACGTACATTTAAGTAATCTTGCCTCTGGTTCTTTTTTATTTTCTCTAAAATGGCCAGGTTTTCCTTCCCAATGCCTTCATCCTCTGTCTTCCTCCCATCTGCCGGCTCCTCCTCTTTCATCTCATAGTGGTCCAAGTCCTCAGTGTCCTGGGAAGGGAAGAGGAGACCTCAAAGAGATGTGCCTTGGCTCCTCCCTGCTCTGAGTACAGAGCTGCCCTGACCCAGAAAGGATTCCTAGTGCAACTCTTTCACCCCGGGAAGCCCCCAGTCCTGACCTGAGGCACAAACAGAATGGAACACACACAAGGCCTGGACACTGCACTAGGCTCATGCAAGCTCAATAAGAGCTGTTCTCCCCTCAACAAGAGGGGACATTTCAGTGTGTCTGGGGGCTCTTTGTAGATCAGCTCAGCACACCCCCGATGTGGTACCTGGCCCTGGCAGAGCCTCTGCCCCTCACACCTTCCCACACCAACACTCATCAATGTCAGAACCCAACGTGAATAACCAGTAAAATCCAGTTGCAGCCATTTGGGCCCACTGCAGAGATCCCTACCCATGCACACAGCGTTCAGTTGCCTGGAAATGGCTGTGAGAATAATGCACAGCTTCAGCACTGGCACTAAATCCTCAGAACAAGTGTTTATTCCGGCCTCTCCAGGCTGCTCATAGCTATTCCAGTTGAGCAGCATTTTTGGAAGGGCTTTGACATTTTTAGACTGTCACACAGGAGAACAGATCCTCCTAGAAAATCCTTCGAGTAGATTAACCTGCATAATGAATCTCTGTACCAGGGAGCAGCTCTGCTGCTCCACACAGCCCAACAAATCCCACCACTAAGCACAAAACCTTTGTTTTACATGAGAGTGTTCCCCCTCCACAACGACACCTGGCATTAGCAGAAGGCAAGAGGGGGAATGCTCAGCTCCTGGGGATTTATTTTCCAGCCCACAGGAGCATGAGGCCTCACACAGCACTGATTTGCCACGAAGCGGCAGATCTGCAGACCCCTGAGCTTATGTTGATGCCAGTTTAACCCTTCTTTTCCCCTGGCAAAGCCTAGCCTGGATTTAGCAATCAATTAACTTTGCTAAACCCCTCCCAAGCTGCTGGGGTGCTGCTGCTCAGTGACCTGCCCCCAGGCTCCACAGCACTGCTGACTCAGTGCCCGTGCTGCTCACACCCCAGAGGAGCGTGTGAGGCATTGCTAAACGTCACCATGGAGATTCAAGATTATTCCACCCACTTCTAGAGCTCTCTAAACTGCAAACCAAACAACCAGAGCCTGTGGGTTCTGCAGCACGATGCCCCCAGCCTGCAGTGAAGGGTGGCTGCCTCTGCTGCTCCCAGCAATCAGCTCACTGGCTCACTCAGCCACCCGATCTAATGCCCCCTGTGGGAGTCCCATTTGCACGGTGACTCCCCTGCCAGCAACAGCAACCTGGAAATTCTATCTCTCCTGAGGGAGTTTCAGACTCTGCAGAACAGCAAACATTGTCCAAGCAGCTCTGCTCACAGTTCACCCACATGCCTCTGGAGGATACGGCTGTGCCGCTTGGCCTCTGCACTCCCTTGGGGTCTGTGAACAGGTGGCTACCACACATGGCTCAGCATCAAAACGCTGAGAACTATCCAGCCTTTAAATCAAACTTCGCTGCCTGCGCTCCAGGAGCTCCTCTCAGGCACTGTCCCTGTGCTCTCGCACCTCTCAGCACCTCCCTATGCTCAGCTCTCCGGCATATCTCCTCCTACAGCAAGGGGGCACTTACCTCTGGCATCTCCTCATCTTCCTCTTCAGAGGACACCTCTTCCTGTGTGCTCTGTGAGGACAGGACAGAGATGGCGCGGTCAGCATCCCGGGGCAATACCCTCCTGCCTCCCCAGGTGCTTCCAAGGTGAGGTCAAACAGGGGTGTACAGGCAGAACCAAATTAAAAGCAAAGCGGAACCAAGAGCCTTCACAGGAAACAGTCCTAAGGTTCAGTGGAGCTGGCTGGCATCACCCAGGACAGAAACCCAACCCCTCACTCGTGTTCCGTCTCTGGTAACCCCCAAAAGCATCCAATGCATACTCCAGGGACCTGGTATGCTGAGCTTTGGGAGCCTCCTCCCGAGCCAACTCACTTGTTCTGCCGGCAGAGGCTGGTCCAACATTTCAACATCTGGGTGTTGGGGGAGGTTGTAGAGTTTGCAGAGGTCAGAGATTATTCTCTTCAGGTGCTGCAGCAGCTGTTGGGAGATCAGAGAGGGTCAGGGAGGTGCAGGGCCCCCCACACCAAACTGAGCCCCAGCGCTGCAGTGAATGAGGGAAGGCCCCGGGGCTGCTCCTTCTTGCTTGGAGCAGCAAAACCCCACCTGAGCACCAAACAAAGCCAGAGCTGCTCATCCCAAATTTCTGGAGAGCAGTCACACCCCCATCTTGGGTGGCAGAGGACACACAAACAGGGATTTCCCCCCCATGAGCAGCCAGCCCCTCCTCCCCCCTCCTAAGGCAGCGGTGCCTCACCAGCGTGTTTCCTTTCCTGACTTCCACCAGCCTCTCCAGGATAGCTGCCAGGTTGGGATCGTCCGACTCCACAGACCAGATCGGGGGCACAGCTGGATAAGACTCCTGGGAGGAGGAGAAGGAGCGTTGGTGGCAGGGAGGCCATGGCAGAGACAAAGCTGGGCTGGGTGGGGGCTGCAGCCCCACAAACCAGAGACCAGGCCACAGGTGATATCCCCCCTCTAGGATAATCCCGGAGGCTGAGGGCAGAGCAAAGCCCTGCTCTGACCGTGCTCGGCTAGCTCTGTTCCCATCCCCCAGCCCGGGGTGGTGGCGTTTTGGCCCCCCCAGTGGTCGCGGGGCCATCGATGCTTGAGGCAGGACACCGAGAGCATCCCGGGCTGCCCAGGGGTCCCTCCCCTCGCAGCTCTACCCCAGCGGCTGCGGGAGAAGAGCCCGGCAGCACCTTTAACACGGAGCAGAGCCTCCGGCAGCGCTCCCGATCCGCCCCTCTGGAAAATTTCGGACACAGACTCTGCGCCGGGTGCTTCCCAGGCTCTGCTGCTCCTCACACGGAGCCCCCAAACAGCTGTAACCTGTGATACAGGAGGGGATCCGCAACCCAGAATCCCTAAAAGCTCAGGGAGGAGGAGACAGAGCGGGCGGGAGGAGCCGCGGGTGCCCCTTCTCCAGGTGGGTCAGGGCCCCCCTGGGGGACCCCCAAAACAAAACCGAGGGAGGCAGAGAGAACGAGGGCACAGCCCCCGCGGCGGAGGGGGAGCCGCCCGGGCCGGGGCAGCCCCCGCGGTAACCTCGCAGCCCCCGGGCCCTTCGCCCCCCCGGGGCCTCACCGTGATGTTGCAGTGGATACGGACCGGCCCCGGCGGCGGCCCCCGGGAGGCGGAGGCGCCGGCGCGGGCTCCGGCCCCTGGCACGAACTCGCAGCTGATCTCGTCCGGGCAGGCGCTGCCGATGCGGAACCGCTCGTGGCCGCGGTGGAAGATGGACTCGAGCAGCCGCAACTCCCGCCTCAGGAGCCGCCCGGCGGGGGCCGCCGCCACCTCGGCGCCGCTCCGCCCGGGACCCCCCGCCGCCGCCTGCGCCCCCGCCGCCTCCTCCGGCCCCGCCCGCTGCATCTTCCCATGGAGGGACCCGCTCCAGCCGCCGCCGCCGCCGCAGCCCCGGAGCCGGCCCAAGATGGCGGCGGGACGGCCCCGCTCCCGGAAGTGCTGCTGCCGGAACGGGCGGGGCCGAGCCCACCGGAAGCGCCGTGCGACGGGAACGGAAGTGACGAACGGGGCACCGGGGAGTGGAGAAAGGGGGCGGGGCCAGTGGGGAGCCCCACCTCCACCCGGGAGGGGTCACGTGGGGGCACCGGGGGGCACCGGGGGCAGGGGGCTGAGCCCAAGGGGCACCAGGGGGGCCGGAGAGGAGTGGGGGGGACCGGGGCACAGTGGGGACCGGGGGGGCCAGGAGGGACCAGGGGGACCCCGACATAGGGGGTCCGGGGGAGACCGGGGCGCACCGAGGGGAACCGGGACGACCAGGGGGCACCGGGCATAGGGAGGCAGCGGGCACAGGGGGTCTCTGAAGCCCGGAGGAGTCCTGGTGCCTGGGCCCCCCCTCCCGGTGCACGGTGGATCCCAGGGGGACTCCGGTCTCGAGATCCGCCCGCGGGTTCTCCCCCTGCTCCCCCCGCGCTCGGTTCCCCGCCCGCTGCCAGGACCCCGCTGGAGCAGCCCGGACCCTCCGCCGCGTCCCGGGGGCGGAGGGGGGGCGGCCCCGGGGCCGGTGACGGCGGCGGTGACGGCGGCGGAGCAGGGAGCGCGGGGCGGCCCCGGCGCAGCGCCCGGCACCGCCTCCCGCCCGGGGCCGCCCCGCCCGGGCCGCCGCCGGCTCCAGCACCGCGGACAGCGCCCGGTCAGCACCGCGGACAGCGCCAGGCACCGGCGGCGGCATCGGGGCCGCCCCCATGGCGCTGCTCCGCGTCCTCTGCCTGCTCGCCGCGCTCAGACGTGAGTGCCGGGGGTCGGGGGGGTGGGTACCGGCACAGGACCGGGCCGGGCCCGGGGGCTGCGCTTGTTGCACGGGACCGCTCGGCACAGACCCGGTACAGACCCGGTACCGGCCTCGGTGCCGCTGGCACTCCCCGACCCCCTCGGGGCTCTGCGGGGCCTCGCCGGGGGTGGGCAGGGACGGGCAGGGACGGGGGAGAGGGTGTCATGGACGGGCAGGGACAGGAGGGACAGGCAAGGGAGGCCAGAGGGGAGCCCCCAGCCCTGCCCGGATCCCCCTCCGAGCTGCTCGTCCCCAGGCACTGCCGTCCCTTGGGCCCCTCCTCCATCCCTCCCTGTCCCTCCCCACTCCTTGTCCGGCGATGACACCCGCGCCCTCTCACCCCACCACCCCGAGCCCCGGGCCAGGCATAGGCTCTGTCCCCGGCTCCTGTGCCGGGCGCTCAGGCTGTGCCCTACCCAGGGAGCCTGGGCACAGACACGGAGGAGCGGCTGGTGGAGTATCTGCTGGACCCCGCGCGGTACAACAAATTGATCCGGCCGGCAACCAACGGCTCCGAGCTGGTGACCGTGCAGCTCATGGTGTCGCTGGCGCAGCTCATCAGCGTGGTGAGTTGACCAGGGCTCTGCTCCCCCACCTGCTGGGGAAGAGAGGGGGTCCTGAACCCCCCCAGCGCCCCAAGTGACTGCCCCCTCCTCTCTCTGCAGCACGAGCGGGAGCAGATTATGACCACGAACGTCTGGCTGACCCAGGTGGGCACCCTGGACTTCGCTGTGGCCCTGGGATTCCCCCCCCACCCCGCATCCTGTCCTGAGCCCCCCTGCACTGGGACACCCAGTGTCTACCCTGACTCAAGACTTCCCATCCCCCTGCCCACCCCTGTCACGGGGACCCCCAGTATACCCTATGTGGGACCCTAATGCTCACCCTGCCCTGACCCAGCCCCCCATACCTCCTGTGTTGGGCCCTCATGTCCCCTCTGCCCTGTCCCCCCCTCCACCCTGTGGCCGGGCTGGGCTGATGGCCCCTGTCCCCAGGAGTGGGAGGACTATCGCCTCACCTGGAAGCCGGAGGACTTTGACAACATGAAGAAGGTCCGCCTGCCCTCCAAGCACATCTGGCTGCCTGATGTGGTGCTTTACAACAAGTAGGTGGTTTTTGGGGGAGGCTGGGCATGCCCCGACCCCACGCAGGGCCAGGGGCTATGTCAGGCTGGACACCCCCAGGACTGACAGCACATCTCTCTGCCCCAGTGCCGATGGGATGTATGAGGTGTCCTTCTACTCGAACGCTGTGATCTCCTACGACGGCAGCATCTTCTGGTTGCCGCCCGCCATCTACAAGAGCGCCTGCAAGATCGAGGTGAAGCATTTCCCCTTCGACCAGCAGAACTGCACCATGAAGTTCCGCTCCTGGACCTATGACCGCACTGAGATCGACCTGGTACTGAAGAGCGAGGTGGCCAGCCTGGATGACTTCACGCCCAGTGGCGAGTGGGACATTGTGGCGCTGCCAGGGCGGCGCAACGAGAACCCTGAAGACTCCACCTACGTGGACATCACCTACGACTTCATCATCCGTCGCAAGCCGCTCTTCTACACGATCAACCTCATCATCCCCTGTATCCTCATCACCTCCCTGGCCATCCTTGTCTTTTACCTCCCGTCCGACTGTGGGGAGAAGATGACACTCTGCATCTCCGTCCTGCTTGCCCTCACTGTCTTCCTCCTGCTCATCTCCAAGATCGTGCCACCCACCTCGCTGGACGTGCCGCTGGTGGGCAAGTACCTCATGTTCACCATGGTGCTGGTGACCTTCTCCATTGTCACCAGCGTCTGCGTCCTCAACGTGCACCACCGCTCACCCACCACGCACACCATGCCACCCTGGGTCCGCACCCTCTTCCTCCACAAGCTCCCGGTGCTGCTCTTCATGAAGCAGCCGCGGCAGAACTGCGCCCGCCAGCGCCTGCGCCAGCGCCGACACACCCAGGAGCGCGCAGCCACCACCACCCTCTTCCTCCATGCTGGCACCCGCACCTGCGCCTGCTATGCCAACTCTGGCACTGCCAAGGCCGAGGGGCTCAACGGCTACCGGGAGCGGCAGGGGCAGGCACCGGCCCCCACACCCAGCTGCAGCTGTGGGCTGGAGGAGGCGGTGGACGGCGTGCGCTTCATTGCTGACCACATGCGCAGTGAGGACGATGACCAGAGCGTAAGTCGAGGGATGCACCTGGAGATGGGCAGGGCTCAGGGTAGGTGGGCAGAGTGATGGGGTGCAGACAGAGCTGTGGGGTGCAGGCAGGGCCATGGGGTGGAGAATGTGTGCTGGCTTGTGGCTGCTCCACGGGAAGGGATGTGCACAAGCACCAAGAGGGTCCCTGCCTTGATGTATCACAGCCTCTGCCTGGGCAGAGGGTCCTACGCTGGTGTCCAACCCACCACTGCAGCCCCAGACTGAAGCAGCTGCTCTAGAAAACCAGGAGGGTGCCAGGAGGCCTGGCCCTGTATGATACTGTGAGGTTGTAGATCTTGGCAGAGTCCCCGTCCTGACTCTGCTCACGGGGGAGATGAGATTCCTGGGCTCAGCAGTGCTGGTGGCAGTGGGGGGAACGAGCCCCGTGGGGCCTAGAGCAGGCTTGCAGGCAGCCCAAGGAGCTGCATTGCTGAGGGAGCAGACTTGGGGCTCTGAGGAGCTGCCAAACTCCCAGTCCAGGCAGTGACGGGTGATGCCCAAGGCCCAGCCTGACCTGGCCTTTCTCCCGGCCCTGCGCAGGTGAGCGAGGACTGGAAGTACGTGGCCATGGTCATCGACCGCCTCTTCTTGTGGATCTTCGTCTTCGTCTGTGTCTTTGGCACCGTTGGCATGTTCCTCCAGCCCCTCTTCCAGAACTACGCCACCAACTCCCTGCTGCAGCTTGGCCAGGGCACCCCCACCTCCAAATAGCACGGGGAACAGCCGGTCCCAGGGCCAGAGGGCCGGGTGCTGGGCTCAGGCAGCCCCTGCAAACCAATAAATACTCACAAAGGACAGGGTTGGTGCCATCTGGTGTCATTTCATACTGTTCTGTGCTCTGTGGGCCAGAGGGAGCAGGATGCACTCAGGGTCAGGGGGCCTCTGGCTGCCCATGACTGATGTAAGAGGACAGGGAGAAACTGGCTCTGGAAGAGGAAAATCCCAATTGCCAAGGGAGAGAGCTCCATGGGGACATGCCCAGTGCTTTCCTCTGCTCCTAGGAGCACCAGCCACTCCCTGTACCTCACCCTGCCAGGCCATGCAGAGCCAGAGCCCCAGTGGGCAGCCCTTGGCCCCTGCCTGGCCCTGCCAACCCCTGTGCCATTCCTGGGACTCCCAGGAGCCTGGCAGAGCCTCACTGACAGGGAAGGAACACAGGCATGGGGAGGGGGATGGAGCTGCTCAGCCTTGGCTCCTCGAGGTGAGCACATCGACCAGGCAGGAGGAGGCTATTTTTAGGTCCTGCCTGCAGGCAGGGCCAGGGCAGCGAGTGCCAGGGGCTGCTCCAGCTCTGCCACTGTCCTCTGCTCCACTCCAGGCTCAGTGCTCTGGAGCCAAGAGCAGATACAAGATGCAAGGAAAGGGAAAATACAATTAATCAACACGAGCTGGGAGCTGGTGGCAGCCGGGCCCCGCCGTGGGTCACTGGGCTGGCGGCTGTGGTTGGGCCGGCAGCACTCCCTGCGCTCCCCTGGCTGGCAGGAATTGGCCTCATCAGGGAAAACTGAAATGGAGTGTTTGCTATAAATACCACTAATCCCTGTGCCTGGGGGGAGCAGGGCTGGCAGGGCCTGGCAGCACACAGGGCCGGGGGAAGCTGCACGCTAGAAATTAATTTAAATCCCAGCATTTCACCCAGCCTGAGAAATCCCAGCTGTTCCAGCTGCTGGTCCTGGAGCTCCTGCTCTCAGGGTGCACCCCAGTACTTAAATGTATTAGGAGCTTTGCCCTTAAAACAGCCCGATACCAGGGGCTTGTCCCACTTCATCCCACCTTTGTGTTCCCTCTGCTCTTGGTCCAGTCTTGGGTCAGTGCAGCACAGGGGGGTCCTGCTGCACCCCAATAGGGACTGGAGTCCTGGGAGGGTGTGGGGAGCACAACAGGAGCCCCAGTAGCCTCAGGTACAGCACCCTGGGCAGCCACAGACGGAAGAGCCTCCAGCTCTGTCCTTGTGCTGTTGCTGCCCTTCTCCACGCCGAGGCAGTTCCACCCCTTACAGCTCTGTGTTTGAGGGCAGTTGCAGACAGGATGGACCTATGACAGCCAGACTTCCAGCACTGACCCTGCTTGGCCCCAGCCCGGCCGCCTCTGGCTGTCCTGTGGAGATCCACAGCCAGAGTTGGGGCCTTGCTCCCAGACTCAGGGTTTCTTCTCCTCATTTTGGGCTGCACTTCCATGCCCACAGCTCTTTGGTCTCTGTCCTAGTTACTAGTGTCATCTCTCACCTCAGGCAAAGCTGGCACAGGCCATGCACAGGGAAAGGGAAGCTGCTCCAACAGCTTCTCACCTTCCACCAGCACATCTGGCGTGTGGTTCAGCTCAGACACACAACAGGGCCCGCAGCCACCACTGGCCTCCTGAGACTAGAAAAGAGACATGCCATCCTAGAGGCAGCATTGGGGAAGGAGTTGGGAGAACCCTGCCCCTGTATTTCCAGGCTGGCCCAAGCCCTCGGAGGGCTCAGCTCTGCCCAGTGAGCCCCTCGCTTGAGGCAAGAGGCTCAATTCCGAACTGCCACAGCTCTACCCAGCTTCCTTGATTGTTTAGCAAATGCTATCACACCTCTGTCCCTCTCCAAACCCCACCCCAGGCCCCTCTTCCCCTCAGCAGAAATCAACACACTCACGGCCAATACTACAGAAATTTGTTATTAATGGAGAACGTTATGCTAGTCCTGCTGTGGCTTGCAGAGGTCAGTCCTGTGTCCCAGCTTGGCCAGGCTACCAGTCACCTTCCAACAGAGACAGAGAAAACCAGCCAGGCAGCTTGTTTGGGGTTTTTTTTTCCTCAAAAGAGAAAAATTTGCCTCAAAACCTGCCAGAGGGATCTGCAGTGTACGGTTCAAAGGTTTCAAGCTCACAGTCTGAGAATCCCTTTGGTTTATTGTGCCTTCTTTTAAAAACAAAAAAAGGGGAGGCAAAACTACAAAAGCTAAGGGGGACTGAGCCTGCCCTCACTTTAAAAAAAGGAGAATCATTTACATGCACATTTTAAAAAGGCAGGGTCTGAGGGTCAGGGAGGAGGCAGCCAGGCCTATGGGGAAACTGCTGCACGCTCCTGACTCCACTCCAAGAAGGTGGTGGTGGAAGAAGGACAAGTGCAGACTGTGTACATTCACCTCCCACCCCTTGCAGGGCGCTTCCCTATGTATCAAGGACAGAGAAATTCTCCTCCTCTTGGGGTTTGCGGATCCAGCTGCCATAGCCCAGCTCTTCCAGCGTGCTGAAGAAGCACTGCTTGGCTGCCTGGTACAGCGTGGCTGCCTCCTTGGCATCTGAGTACACAGAGAGCTTCAGCAGGTCTTCACGGTTGTTCTTGGCACACAGCTGCTGGAACAAGGTGAACATTTTCCTCTTGGACACACGAGACACTTCCAGCTTTGGGCTGAGAAGGAAGACACAGGTAGCAATGAAGGACATGACACTCAGAAGAGCCAAGAGGAACACAGGGCTTGGGGAAAATCCCACGATGGGGGAACTCTGGGCTCAGCAGGGCTCTGTGGTAGGGTCCAGGCTGGGCAACTTTTGGTTTCCTTCAGGAGTGCTTGCTCATGTCCGTTTGAAATTCCTCCCTCCAGCCCTCCCCATGTGTAGGGTGCTGTAACAGCGCAGTGTACTCTCCACCTCAGAGTTGCCCCCCTTTCCCCAGCAAGAAAAGCAGTGTCAGGAAAGGCTCTTCTTACCCATCTACTTTCCCTTTGGTGCCATCCAAGACTTCAACTTCGCTTGCATCAGCAAGACACCAGTTCACTGATGACTCCTTGGTCTTGCCCGTCTGCCTGGCAGAGTCGTACACACTGACTCGCCCAACCTGCGGGAGAGCCAGGAGGGTTCCTTAACCTGGTCCTCTTGCCCCCTCCATCCCCCATAGGTTCAGCTCATCCTAAACTTTAGAGAGCAGCAAGAATGAGGCTCTTACTAAGCTGAAGGTTACAGGGGCAACTCTGGTGTCCTTTCTGCCAGACCAAGACATTGCTAGTAACCCCCAAACTGCGGGGTGACAAAGAGGGAAGGTTCTTGGGGTTGCCCTGTGCAGGGCCAGGAGTTGGACTCGATGAGGCATTGTGGGTCCCTCCCAACTCAGGATATCCCAAGACTGCTGCCTAGTGACCCCCTTGCAGAGCGCCTTGGGACTCCAGAACCCACAGGCAGAGGAACGGGGTGAAGAGGTGCCACAGCTGCAGTACCTCAGGATGGTTAATGTGATACGGAGCCTGGAGCTTTTCCTTTAGTATGTTCCCATCCCTCGCCATGCGGCAGCAGATGGCACGGGTCAAGTGACCCTGACTGTACAGGTAACCTGTGGAGATAGAGGTGAAGGTGTTAAGAAACAGGATGGCACAGGTGATGGACCAGCCAAGCCCTGAGAGCCACAGCACTGCTCACAGGCTCCTGAAAGTCCATGGCACGTGGATCAGCACAGCTATGTGTACCCTGGGTGTGTAAGACATAGGTTTACAGACTACATTTCTCTCTGAAGACATAAACATACAGTTTTTGTCTCACTCTCCTAGATCACACGTGCCTCCTAAAAATCCAGAACCTCAGAGAGAAACCCACTCCACCCACAGCATAAAATCCACTGACTCCCTTTTCACTTCCCAACAGCTCTGCCAAGAATGACGTTTCAGTCTGTTACTCCTACAGCTTCCACAAACAAACTTTGCCATCACACAGGGGAGGGAGGTGAGTTGTCACTGCAGCCCAGTTGTACCACCCCGCCCCCGAAAGGTCGGAGGATCTCGCACCGAGCGTGACAGAGCTGAGATAAACTGGCTCCAGGAAGTGTGACAGCAGTGCCCCTTGCAAGCCAAGTATATTCCAGCGCAAGATTTTGTCACTGCAGGACATGGTTCGTAACCGCTCCCCGTGTTGGATCCCATCCCACGTGGGCACAATGTCACTTGACTCCACGGGAATGGTACCTTCCCCTGCACGAGAGAAAAGAAAGCTTTTCTGTACAGAGTCAGATATTCAGTAAATCAAACCCCATCAGAAACCGCACAAGAATCTTCTGGATACCCAGAGTGACCTCTGAGTCTGACACCAGGTTCGGGGAACAATCTGGCATTCAGTATTGAATACACATGAGTAATTTTCAGCATGGCTGAAGCAGAATAGAACAGTGCTTGAAAAAGAGGGCAGAGACATAGGAGTTTTGCAGCAAACTTCAGCTGCAAATTTCACAAGTGTGGCAGTTCCAACGGGCAGAGCTGGGAAAGGGAAGGGACTCTATCTAATGCTCTTCCATCCATCCACCTCCTTTGGTTCCTGAGTGCTTCAGATTCCACAAGAGCACACAGAGAGGGGCAAGGAAGCTCTGGAGCACCAGAAAGGCTCAGAGGAGAGGACTGGAGCCATCCCACCATGCAGGGAGTGATTGCACTCACCATTCTCCACCTTGGTCCGCAGCTTGCCTTGCTTGGGGTTCTCAAAGAGAGGCTGGTGCTGGGGCTGCCCCACCATGCTCGCCTGGTCGCTGCAGGATTTATCAAAGAGGGCTCCGTCTCCACACGGGGCTGTGCTAGAAAACAAACCCTCCCCCATTAGCACTGACTGTCAGGAAACAGCCAGGGCCAGGGGGGTGACAGTGCTGCTGACACAGGTCACCCAACCCCTCCCCACAAACCTGACATAGAGGTGAAAGGTAACACTGCTCTTTATTCTGAGCCTCTTTCCTCCCGCTGGCTCAAAAATGCTCTCTTCTGCAGAGGAAGGATTAGACAGGTCATACTTCATCAGCTCACTGTAGAGAAACCTGAAAAGAACACCATCCTGTCAAAAGGCTGCTCTGGTCCTCAGACAAGGAGTGCTTCAATCGACTGGCATGTTCCCACATCCCACTAGGAGCTGTAGCCAAGGAGGCTTGGGAGGCCAGCAAACAGTGCTCGATGCACAAAAAGGGCAAAAAGTCCAGCAGATTTTCTGCCACGAAGAGGACAAGTGGTAGAAAAGCACTATCCTGTCCAGGGAGCAGGGGGAATCACTGGCAGGAGAGGAAGGAGCCTGGCTGGCTGCTGCTTGCATGCATCTGTTCCCAGTGTGAAGAAGACTTCAAGGTCTTCAACCAGCACCTTTAATCAGCACCAAGTTTGTGTTAAGAGTAAATGGCCCTGTGGGTAGCTGAACTCAAGTGGTATTACCACAACCCCATAAGGGTCTTTTACGGTTGCTTCTGGACAGGGAAAAACCTCGAGGTCTCCAACACAGTGTCAAGGACTAAAGAAAAACTGCAGCTTCCTAGAGAGTCCTTGAGCAGAGCCTGTGCAGGGACTGATTTTGCAAGGAGAGGTGGAGCATGTTGACAGGCTCTGCTATGCCAGAGCAGCCACCGCTGTCAAGATTAACAGCTGAGACAGACATTAAGCGAGACACAATCCTGATTCATCACTTCCCAGGGACCTGCCCTCAACACTTTCCCTTGCTGAGGAATGCAGAGCACAGCGGCAGCTCACGAAGGCTTGAAGGAAGCAGCTGGCTTTGCTGTACAGAACTGAAGGGCAAACACGTCCAGCTTCATCTCACTTCAGTTTTTAAAAACTAAGTGTCACAGTGAATGTTTATACAGAGAAGACAACTGCGCAGTTTAGTTGGGAAAACCCTTTACAACCTCTGAAAAAGGATTGCTGACTTATCAAGGCAAACAAATGCAGTATGTTTTCCTGAATCCTTCTATACTCAGACCCAGAAAGGCCAGGAGAGGACCCAGCCTGCAGTGCTTGGCTGGTGGTGGGAGCTGCGCTGAGGCTGGAGAGCACCCTGCACGATGGTCCAGTAGCCTCAGCAGGAGGCTCTATTTTAATAACTTCGGATGCAGCCCTTGGGCTCCTGGCAATTCTTCCATTCAGTACTAATTTGGGCACCACTCAGGCATGGCCCCTTCTTATCAGAAATAACTTCCCTCTTTTTAACAACACATGGATAAACAGTGTCAGAGGATCACAGCACCTCTCAGTGCAGCAAGGAACTGTTTCAGCTTCACCCCTCCAGAATGGGTCAGCATCTCCTGGTAGGCCTCTCTCCATTTCCTTTGGATTTCCCCTTTTCTCACCTCACAAAGCCTCTTCGAGAAATGATTTCTGCATGACAATCATTTACTGTCTCCCCCTTCAAGCTCAGCTCTTCTCCTTTCACACAACGATTACCTGAAATAAATAAATAAATAAATAACAGGGCAAGTGTCAAAGTCAAGACACAGCTTCAGAGACAGAGGGAGAGGTTCATCTTGCGTCAAGTCTTACTTCTTTGGGCTCTTGAGCAGCAGCAGCACCCTGGCTATTAAATCATTATCTTGATCCAAGCAGTTAGGAAAATAAAGGGAAAAAAAGCACACACCACTTTAAGGACAGACAGACTAAAAGTGCCACAGGTTTAGGGGCACTGACCCTTGATGAGGGCTTTGCAGCTCACCACTCCTGGTAGAAGGCTGGCAGCTAAGTAGGGAGGGAGATAAGGTACATGCAGCTGTGAGAAGCTGGGGGATCGTGTGCTGTACCACATGAGGAATCCACGCTCTGATGCACAGACTAGCATGCAGCAATGCAAGTGAAGATTAAGAGCAATACAGCTGCAGGCACATTTGCTTTGTTCTCTCTCTTTAACTAGATCGCTTGTGACACCACTTGAGCCCTGGGAACATTTTGTGCCCTCTCTGAAGAGGCCCACAGCCACAGCCATTTCTGAGCCGTGGCTGACAGGAAATCTAGCATGGAGATGAGAGTTCAGAGTGTGCTGGAGGAAGCTGTTCATACCTGTTCCGATGCTGACCACCACTCCCAAGCCCTTATTTGCTCTCCTCATGACGATGGCAGCCAGGATCTTGCGCCCGAGCAGACTGTGCTGGATGCGAGCGGTGAGGCTGTTGAAGCGCTGGTGGCTCAGCATGGCCATCTGATCGTGCAAGGTGCTGCCACTCACAGGGAGCTGGGGTGGGGACACACCACCACAGATCATGAGCAGGCCACACAACACCACAGCTCAAGGAGTAACTAACCCAAAGTGCAGCTTTCCAAGGAGAGGACAGAACGCAGAAAACACGAGCTTTGGGCAGTGCGGTTTGGAGCTGTTACACGGACACTTCTGTGTCAAGGGGTGCGTGAACTTCTTTTGGGTATTTCTGGGAAAACCTCGTCCAAGGCTTTCAATTCTGCTCTGGCCACATCAGAGACAGCAGCAAGCTGTCTTCCTGGCAGCAAGAGGCACAGGCTGAGGAATGGCCCCCCGAGAATGCCAGGGAAAATCCACAGCGCAAAGGAACAAACCCATCCTGCCTGTTCCCAGAGACTCAGCCAAGGAAATCTGCTCCTGGCTTTGGAGGAACTCCTCCTCTGGCTGCCTGTGAGGAGAGTGCAGTCACTCTCATTGCAGACGGACTCACCTCCTCCAGCACTGCTGACTGACAAAATTTTCCCTGATGGCTTTGCTATTTAGAGCCCCAGCTGCTGTGCTCAGCTGTGTCGGCTGGAATGCGGCTTTTCAGAGATCACAATGCTCTAAGGGCGATTTAAAGCAGCCCAGGTTTGGGACAAGCCATCCTGGCGCAACGGACAGTTTTGCTTATCTTATCTGATACACGAGTCTTTATGAGCTGACACACCATTTTTAAAGCAGCATGAAGGAGTTTGAAAGTAATAAAAAAAGTCACATAATTAAAAATGAGCATGTTCCTACTCTACCACAAGAACACACTTGAGTAGCTGGAGGAAGAATTTGATGATAATTTAGCCCTAAAGCAGAGGCCAGCAGGACAGAAGGATAGGCCTGCGCCCTGAGGAAACATCTAACCCACTTCAGGAAAACCACATCAGCTTATCTACAGCTGCAGAGAACAAAGACATCACAGTTGATTTTGAAGGCACTTTTCTGCTGGACTGAAGGGAGGAGGACAGGCAGGGCTACAAACACAGTCCCACCTGTGGCAGAAGATTTACCTCAGTGATGTTCATCCCTTCCATGCGCTCCACCTTCTCCGACTCCCCGATCAGGACTCGCAGCGCTGCATCCGCTGCCTCCTGCTTGCCCTGCTTTTTGCTGTGTGCAGTCACAGCTGGGAACCAGCGGCCTCCAACCTTCGCCTGATAGACAAACCTATGAAGAAACCAAGAAACATGTGCATTTGAGTCTGGTTTTTAAATTCTCCCAGTGGAGAGAGGAGGGGAGTGGAGGGAGCTTATTGTCATCCAGTCATAAGGTTTGGCAGAGGCAGCAGCTCGCCCTGTTGCCATCTCAAACTGCAATTTTGATCTTTCTGTCCTTTCTCCAGGACAACCGCAGCAGTGCAAAATTTCCTCCTGGGCAGGTGCAGCTACTTACTTGGGGTCATGGGGAGGTCCTGACTGGTCAATGAGTTTAAACTCTGCAGCAAACCCATTGGAGCGGGCATATTCCAGCAGGCCACTGACAGGATTGACATTAAGATATTTGATGAGCTCCCCAACACCCTTTGCTTTCACCACCTTGGATTCATCTGGAGCGGCAATCCACGGCCCACAGCTGTGCACGGACTGGTCACCGTGGGGCTTCGTGACAGGCTAGAGTGGAGTTAGACAGGAGAAGGTTGTTAAATACTGAGCAGCTGGATTTACGGCAGGCTAAGAGCAGCAGCAAACATCTGCTAGAGCCAGCATGTGACCTTTTGGGGTGAAATCCAGTGGAATAGGAAATAAAAGACGGGGAACATTCAACTCAAAACGCTTGGGTCTTATAAAGAAGCTCTTTGTACCTGTTCAGGCAAGACATGGGGTACAGACTCTCCAGAAAGAATCTTCACAGCAACTTCTGCTGCCATTTGCTTTGCTCCCTTCTTGCTGTTTCCTACCACAGCAGGGAAAATTTGGTCACCCATTTTCACACAGTAGCTGAACCTGACAGGACATTATAGCACATGAAAAGTGTTAACCATAGGTGTCTCAATCTGGTTATTATCCCCTTTTCCCACTTCCAGATAAATCCTTCTGGCTTATCTCCAATTGAAATCTACCGTTATGGCACTAAACACTTCCACTAGAGCAGCACCAGGTAGGGTACAGGACTGGAACCTGCTTCTGCTCTGGTAGAAGAAACAGCATTTTTTCTCTGAGAAAGGGCATTGCTTTGGGTCTCCTTCTGGAGGCAGATGTCTTGGAGGGGCCATGCCCAGAATCCTTGGATAAGAGGAGCACTCAGCTAGGTCAGTGACAAGTCCAAGAATGTGGGTAGCATGCTGAAGGGTAAGGATAGTGAAGAAAAAGTTTCCATCCTCCCCCGAAGCAGACAAGAATACGCCATACCTAGGATCATGAGGTGGGCCTTCCTGAGACAGCAGCTGGAACTCAATTACGTTCCCTGACTTTTGTCCATACTCCATCAATACGCTGATAGGGTGCTTCCCAGGAAGCAGGCTGAGGGGAGCTGCTGCAGACAACAGCTCTGGCTCTGGCTGCAAAGAAGACAGAGGAAACCAGTCCCAGACTAAACATTGCCTGAGCAGCCTCACAGGCTGAAGAAAACTCACAGGTAAAGAAAACAGGACTCACCAACTCCAGTTCTGAGCTGTTGGAGGGAAGCGGCTCCTCACATTTAATCCCACTGGGCCTTCCATTCTCCACTTCACTCATCAGGACCTTCATGGCATTGGCTGCTGCCTCCTGTTTAGCCAGTTTTTTGCTCCCTGCTTCTGCTGGTGGGAATTGGCGCCCATTGATCACTGCCTGGAACTTAAACCTTTAAAAAGAGAAAGCCAAGGAGGTAAATTGAGAGGCAAAAGTGTGGTCTTCTCAGAGCAGGCAAGTAGGCTGCTCTTGGAGCTGAAGGGAGGAGGAACAGCCAGCTCCTGATTGGAAGAGCAAACCCAGGCTGCTGTGTGCAGAAGGCAAACACCAAGGGTACGCCAACAGCGCTGCATCTGAGCCTTGTTTCATCACGTTTCCAGTGCTGTTCATGACAGAGGAACAGCTCCAGGTTTTGTTCTGAAGGAACAGGAGGAATTGCCTTGTTCCACAAGTGTCAGGAACAGGTAATGGCTGTATGCAGACAGCAGTTCTGTTGTGGCTCCTGCCCAGTAATAAGAAAGCTCGAAAGCAGCCTGCGCTGTTTCATCTGCACCTGGTCATTCAGGGTCACTCCTCCCTCTGGCATTCTCCCTGGCTACCCAGGGCATTCACACCATCTCAGAGAGGTGCTGCCTCACATAAACCTCTCGTCTTTGACATTTCTGTCCCTCTCCTTCCCGTGAACTCTAACAAAGTTTATCTTCTGTCCTTCAGCCCTGGAAACCTGCTTCCAAGGAGAATGGGTCTAACCGGATCTAGAGAAGGCTTATGGGGCTGAATCCATTCAGACCCCTCCTTAAAACCGAAACAACAAACCCCTGAGACTCTGTCTTTAGAAATGAGGCCAATTTTCCTGTCTAGTGGATCTATTGACATATTCCAGCATAACACATATGGTGCTTTTCACCTCTCCCTGGTGCTCCAGAACAGCCATGATTCTGCAAGGGAAAGCAGGACTCCAGAGACTGACTCCACCAACTCTAGTGCCATGCTGTATGTGCTTGGCTCACAGAATCTGCTCTGACCTGCTACACCACAGAAACGTTCAGAGCGGGGCCACCTTGGCTAACTCAGGACACCTGCATCCAAACACTTTGTTCTGAGCTCTTTTTATACCATTTCTAGGGTGAGAACATCTTGAGAGACAGCTCAGAAATACCAGTTTCCCTCTATACGATCAAATCGAAGGCAAGTAATTAAATGAGACGGGACCTAGTGAAGAGATGAATCCCATCTTCACTAATTAGGATGAGGTGCTGGATTGCCAAAACTGGGCTACCTGGGGTTAAACTTTAGCCTTGTTTTATTTCTTAAGCTGATGCAAGGAATCAACTAGGCTAATCCTTCTGAAATGAAAGAGACATGAATGAGCAGGCCCTTCAGGACAGAGCTGGCTGAGAGGGTGAACTTATAAGTCAGATCATTTTAAGCAAAGAGAGCTCAGAAGAGGTAGGACATTTTCTTACCGTGGCTCATGAGAGGGTCCACTCTGCTCCAGCATGATGAACTCACAGTGCTGGTACGTGTACTGGGAATATTCAGTAAGGCCACTCACTGGGTTCTTCTCCTGACAAGCCATCAATTTCTCTACGGGCGTACATGGCAAAGCAGCTTCAAACTGGGCAGCATAACTGGGGGAAGACTGAGAATTCATGACGCATTTTGACTTGTCAGGCTGCTTGTTGATAGTGTTCAGATTATCTGGGATATCATCCGTGGTCCACTTGCCGTTTTCTGAGTTATCATAATTACTCAAACTGGAGAACTCAGGCTTGGTGTCCTCAGCTGTGTCCGCTCCCATGTCGCTGCCATTGCCCTGACCAGGCTGCCCCAAAGGCTGCTGTCCATTTTCTACACTTTCTTCTTTTGATGCCATCGCTGCTGGCAAAGCTGCTGTCATCTCCTGGGGACACACAGGGACAGAGGAAGGGGAAGGACCCGACTCAGGAGGTGTGGGATTCACCTTCTGGATTAATATGCTGGCCTTCAGCCTCATCTGCATCCTCTCACGTTTCCTGTCTGTCAGGGACCACCGTGGGGGGGTTGTGTTCTGCTTGTGGACATCTCCCAGCTTTTCCAGAGCACTGAGAAACGCATTAACGTCCTTGGCCCTTGAAAACCCAATGTTTTTGGCAAGGTTGAGTGCCGTTGTTTCCGGCACGCTGAACAAGTAGTTGCAGATTTTCTCCTTCGTCTCAGCCATCTCTGTGTCTCCTGAGCCAAGTGTGCTCCTCTCTTCTCCTCTGCTCTCACAAGCTGGATCTGTGCAGCCGGCACTGTGGGCAGCAGGGCTTCTCTCCCTCCCTGAGCTGGGGCTGGCAATCCTCCACAGCGGCGGCGTCTCTCCCCCCTTGTGCAACTTGCCTTCTCTGAGGAGTTTATACAAAATGCGGTTGACCTCTTTCTTTTGAGTTTTAAGTTTGTGTGTGAGATCATGAACTGTGCAAGTCCTTCCCTCCCCGAGCTGCCTGAAAATAGTCAGAATTTCTTGTTCGCAGTCTTGCCTGGCAAGAGACAGTCTCTGGAAATTCAGCCTGATAGTGTCAGAGTCTCTCCCTGGGTTCTCCTGAAGACAGTGCTGTGGAGGGCAATACCGTGGTGAATTCCCACGGTATTGCCGCTGACTAGAGAACCTCCAGCCCCCTGCCCTGCCACGGCCAGGCCGATGTGTCCCTGCAGGAGCCGGTGCCACAGCCTCCTCGTGTGGTCCCTGCCCCTGCAGCGGGCAGACCGCAGTGTCCTGCTCTGTCAGGAACTGCTGGTGCAAAAAGGTGCCCTGGTTAGTTTCTTGTGGGGTACAAGGGTGGTTATAAAAACCTCGGGTAGTGCCGGGGTGGTTATGCCTCGCCCGAGTCAGATACGAGCCTCTGCCTCGCCCAGCACCTCTGATCATAGCGCTCCGCTGGGACACGCGGGGGACCCGGGCTGCTGGCACGCCAGGAGTGGAGCTGCCTGTCCTGAGGAGACAAAACAGCAACTCAGGATGCAGTTGTGTTGCAAACAGTTTGATAAAATAATCAAGATTTGATAACATAAAAGAAGTGTTTGTGATTAAAGGTAGAGAAGCACAGTGCACCAGAATTGTTAGGGGCATTGTGTTTGAAAGAATGGAACCACAGGAATCTCACTGGACCATACAAAGTTGCTTTGAAGTCCCCTGCACTCTCCCTGTCTTGGTCTGGACACTGCCTATCCCAGCTAGTATAGCTAAATAGTATAGACCAACGATTGTTGTAGAATAACACTATATACCTGAAAGAACCAATCATTTCAAAGATTTTCATTCATTTCGTCATCATTTCATTAGATTTAAGAGTGGAGCAGCTGGACCACTATATAACTATATAGAAGAATATACTATATAACTAAGTAGAAGAATAGAACTTAGCTAGGCATGACAAGTATAAAAATAAATAGAAGAATAGAAATTTACGTAACTATAAAGTATATAAACTGTACAAATTTTGTTGTTGGGAGAACACGTTTAGGAGGAGCTGACTCCCCCGTGTTCCCAGCGCTGTAATAAAGAAGTGTCACTTAATCACATCAAATTGGTGCTGGATAAGTTTCCTTTATCACATTTGGTGATAGTTACACAACTACAGGATTCCAAAAACGCAGTTTAAACAGCTTCCCTGACACTGAGGTATTTCAAGCATCTTCTCCTTACAAGCCTGTTTTCTACTTTTCTAGGAGTCTTAAATTATTCCTGCAAACATAAACAGCAAACTCTGTCTGCCCAGCATAGCACCAGCAGGTAAAGTCAACCATGAGAAGCAGCTTTGCCAAGAGCGACCCTCTGCTTCTGTTGGACGAGATTCCAGCACGTGATGTTCAAGATGTGCTTCCCAAACACAGTGAGCTCCACTCCCTCTCTGCCCTGAGGGAGAGAAGAATCTCACACATGCTTTGCAACCTGAGAAACAGAAGCACGAGGAGGTAAGGGAGCATGAGGAGGTGAACTGGAGCAGCTCACGTGGTCAGACAGCAGAGCTGCAACAGGCTCATAATAATTTTCAGATTCGTAGCCAAAGGAGTCTGAAACCCCAAGTGTCTTTTTCTCCTTGGGCACTAGATGACCTGCGGAGGTAAAGCATCACACTACACACGCAGATAACATGCACAGAAATTGGGACAGGTGTGCAGCTGGCAACAGTTTTTTTGGACTGCAGCCCAAGTTCCACTCCTATCGCACACAGCTGTGCCGCTCCCCCAGGGTGCAGGACATTAGACTAAACTTTCAATATGCTTTTTAAAAATAAGGAACCCAGCACAGCATATATTCCAATTATTTGACAACAGCTGGCTGTGAAACTGAGAGGATAAAGACATGGAACACGAGACAGGGCCCATCCTGCCTGCTCCCTCATGACCCATCGTCACAGAGACAGTTCTTCCTATGCCAGTCCCATCTTTATAAAGCTCCCCATCTTCACCAAACACACCCCGAGGCCAACTCAAATTTCCCTTTCACTAAACCGCCTCACTCGGCTGCCACCATGGGACTTATTTTCCAATAAACACGGGGAGCCGGGTTCCTTCCTCCCCAACTCCGAGGGAGCCCCTGCTCAGTGACCTCATTTTACAAGTGCTCTCTGAGTGAAGGGCAGGAAGAGGAGTTTGGAAAAAAAACTCTCTTACCTCAGCCTCATCCGCACGCCAAATTATTTTATGAGAAAATAAAGAGGAAAAAAAAAAGAAACCCCCACCCGCAGCTGTGCCGACGAGGGGAGGCGGCGCCGGGCAACCGCCGAAGATGGCTGTGAGGCCCATTTCGGTTTCGTTTCCCGCAGCAGCCCCGCCCAAGGCGCTCGCAGCGGGGACTGGCCGAGTTTCGGGCTTTCTCAGACACCGCTTGGCTTTGAGAGCGCTCATGAGGTTCCTTCTCAGCGCCGGAACCTGGGGCGGGAAGGCGAACCCCGTGGGGCAGCTCTTTCTCCCGGCGCCCGGGAGAGGCAGCCCCGGCACTCGTGGGGTCCCGGTCGGCACAAGGGGGGCGGCTCGGAGAGAAGGGCTGCGGGAACAGCCGTCACCTTCAGCTGCACCCCCAAGGGAGACCCCGGGGACCGCGCAGGGCGGGTGCGACTCACACCCGGGTCACACTCCGTCCCCGTGAGGGCCGAAGGAGTGACGAGGGGCTCGCCCGGACGGCACCGCACGGGAGGGACGGCGAGCACCGAGAGCCGGGATTCGAGGGGAGCGATTTATTCCGCGCGTTCCGCCCCACGGAGCCCGAGCCCGGCAGAGCCCCCTGGGCAGCCGGGACACGGTCCCGCAGCGTTCCGGAAGCCCGCGGGGCCGCTCACGCGCGAGGCTGCAACGCGGCCTAGTCCCGCCGCCTCATCAGGCCCGGTGGCCGCTGCAGGACACACCGCGGGCGGTAGAGACGTCAGGGACCAGGAAGGATCCAGGAGGGCCCCTCGAGGTTCCGGCGGGGCCCGAGGCCGCCCCTCCCCCCCGCGCCCCCTTACCCCGCGGCTGCCGCCGCTGCCGCCGCTGCCGGCGCACAGTGATGACGGCACTGACCCCCGCGCCTGCGCAAGGTGCGGAGGGAGCCGGGCGGACGCCATCTTGACTGGGGGCAAAGCGCGGCCGCCATGTTTGACCAGGGCAGCGCTTGGCGGTGCCGGCGCCTCCGTCCCGGTGGGGCCCGGCTCGGGCGCTCCGCTGTGGGAGAGGCGGCACAACCGCATCCCCTTCCTCCGGCTTGGGGGCCGCGCTGCTTCCGCTGTGTCCCGGAGTATCGCCTACGCTATAGGAGCGCTGCGCCGAGGCGGCGGCGCACATAGGCCCTACTGCGCATGCGCAGCAAGTATCTCTTCACACCCCCCCCCCCCCCCTTTTCTACTCGTTGCTCCCGTTGCTCCCCATTGGCCCTCGGTACCGCGGGGCCTTCGGGGCCTGCGGGGTTTCCCCTCCTACATAGGCCACTCCGTGAGCCGTGGGATCTCCATTCTCTGTGGGCCCTCTGTCTGCCGTGTGTCCTTTGGACCCCCTCTTCCCCGTCGGGGCTCCCCCATCCCCCTGTGGTCTCCACCAGAGTCTCTCCCAGTGTGGGGCTCCTCTTTTTTCCACAGGCTCCCCGTTTCCCGTCCGACTGCTGTCACCCCCGGTTTTATGCATGCTTTTTAGTGCTAGAGGTGCCCCGGGTCATGTCCCACCCTGTCCCAGGTTCCTTCTAGGCGGACGGAGACAATTCCCTTCCCCAGCCCCAAACCAGGCGTGGACTCTGCTGCCGGTGGATCCTCCCTTTCCCAGGCGAACACATTCCAAACGAGATCGTGTGAGTTAGAAAACTACCGTCAGAGAACAGATTGTCCCTGTCTGCCGTGTGTCATTTCCTATCTGGCACAGGCACTGCCGGGCTCCCGTGGCTCAGAGGCTGCCAGTGGCTTGGAGCAGCACCTTGGGCACAGTGGTACCTGTGCCTGTGGGTATGGATTATTCTTAAACCAGAAGGCTTGGGAGCCAAGCTTTCAGATGCACGTCTGGACCAGCCATGGCGGGGTGGGTTCTTCTCCCAGGTAACAAGAGGAAACGGCCTCAGGTTGGACCAGGGGAGGTTTAGATTAGATGTTAGGGAAAATTTCTTCATGGAAGGGGTGTTCAGGCACTGGAGCAGGCTGCTTGGGGCAGTGGTGGAGCCACCATCCCTGTAAGTGTTCAAAAAAGGTATGGATGTGGCAACTGGGGACATGGTTTAGTGGTGGCCTTGGCAGTGCTGGAGTAACAGTTGGGCTCTGATGCCTTAAACTCTATATTATATAAAATTTTAGTATAGCTCTTTCAGTATATCACCTTTGTATTAGATTCCTAAAGTGTTGTTAAACGTTTCTTGTCAAGAATTCCAACAGACAAAGATTTTAGCAAGGTGAAAAACATCTTATCTGTAGAAAATATACTCAGAATAAGACAGAATAGGATGTAACAGGGTTACACCATTGAATATAACCAAGTCAAAAGTACTCTGAAGCCTTGAAGCTGTTCTAAGAAGGACAGAGATGATGAGGAGGAGGAAGAGGAGGATGGGGATCAAGGGGTGGTCATTTTGCGACCACCAACCCAAATTTGGGAGGCGTGGTGAGGGTGGGACAATGGGAGGAACAGTTTTGGGAATGGGTGTATCTAATGAGGTAATGCCCAGATATTATAATTAGATGTTATTATAAAAATTGTAAAGGCCTATACTGTTGTATGTGCAATATATTTTGTGCACCAAAGGCACCACAATTAAAGAGCTGCTTTCTACCTTTCTATACTCAAAATTGTCCAGAGAATTACTTCTCTGATTTTAGGCAACATCTCAATGATCTTAAAGGGCTTTTCCAACCTCAACAATTCCATGATTCTATAACAACCAATGAGCAATTGTCGCATCTGGGACCATCATCTGTGAGCCCCCAGACCCTCCTCTGCCAGCGTGGTGGGTGTGGAGGGGAGCTGGCAGGGATGGGCACAGGGTCTGGATGAATTTTAGGGGTCCATCTGCCTACACTTGCCTATGAATGGGCAAAACACACGAAGACAAACTCCTCAGAGGACCCTGGTCTGTGTGTCCAGTGGAATGGTAGCTTGTGTGTGCCTTCAGGTGGGGCCCCTGCTCCCACCATGGCCTCTTCCCTGCAGCATTCCAAAGGTGTTTCAGTGATCCTGGGGTCACAGCAGGGTGCAGAAATGGTGAGTCAGGCCCCAGAATTGCCAGGCTCATCTGCTGCTCACATTCAGTGATGCTTTTTTGAAGCTGAAGCTGTGGATTGTTCAGGGTTTGGGAGGTTTTTTTTTTCAGGTGATTTCTGGATTTAGAGATTTTGGGGCTTGTGTTTCCTGGCGTGGTTCTGGTGTGGGTTTTTCTCTGGTAATGGGGAGGCTCCTTGCCTAAAAAGGGATCCAGCATGCCCACTGAAGTTGTCACATCTTTGTTCCTTGGAGGATCTGGGAGCACAAACCCTCCTGTCAAACATGGGGGTCACAATCCACACAAGCAGTGTCTCCCACCCACTTTGCCAAAGGACAAGTGACTCCACAGTGCACGACAATGACTCCTTGATCTGTTCTTTCCTTTTTTTCACCCCCTTTTAATTTCTGGTGATCACTCCCAGGCTTTGCCCCAGCCTGGGTGGCTGTGATTCATCCTGGCCTGTGTGAGGGTGGGATGGGAAGGTTCCAGCGCTGCTCTCCTCAGTGTGACAGAGGCTGCCTGTGAAGTCATGTGTCCTCTTGAATTGCAACACCCTCAATGTGACAAACAGCCACTTCATCCATATGAGCTCATTCTCTGTTCTTTATGGAAAACTGGGCAGACTCCCAACCTTTTTCCATGGAAAGGGGCTGGGAGATGGGAGACCTCCAGCTGCTGAAGGCCCAGCATTAACACAGCCACAGCATCTACTTGGCTTTGCTGGAAGCTCCAGCACCCGCTGGACATCACAGCCACGGGAAAACAGCATGGTTTGTGCTGGAGATAAGGAGCTGATCACCAGCTTACATGAGGCTGCTCTGCTGATTTTGGCAGAGGATGGAGAAAGCTCCATTGCTCGCCCTGGGATGCTGGGGCTCATCCTGCCCCGCTGTTTCCTTGGGGTCTCCCCGAGCCCCCCACTTCCCCGGGGCTGAGCAAAGGCTTCCCCGCGGGATGGCAGTATTCACTAAATCTCCAGTGTCAGCCGGAGATGCCTCAGGTGTCTGCTTTGTTTTGCTTCCCTCTTAGGAAAGGAAAGGAGAGAAAATAAATTGTGACACAGCTCCCCCGCCTGACTTTCTGCTCTGATGCTGGCTCTCAGCTCAGGCTATTGTTCCACAGAGTTTCATTTTGAACTCTTTTATTAGATGCTCTAAAATATCACTTCCTCACTCTTGGAGGCAGCCTGTTCCTACACGAGAGATTCGCAGTCCTTGATCAGCTGACAGGGGTTTCTAAGGGATGGCAGCCCTGGGAGTTGTGCTGTATCATGGACCCTGTCGGTGCCTACTCCCCTCCGCCCTAGGGCCAAGCTCTGCTCTCACACCACAGGCAAGAGGTGCAATTGGGGTTTGGCCTCCCTGCAGAAGCGCCTGTCGAGCGCTCCAGGCTCTTTCTGTGTGGAGTGGGGAATTGGTCTGAGCTGGTTTCCACGTCCTTCCAAGCATTGCACTTTCTCCTCTCTGGCTGCAGACACAGCTGGGAACTGATGTGGAAGATCTCCATAAATCCAGAGCATCAGTTCCCCTTGGAGGGGGAAAAAGGTTTATTTTCTTCCAACGGATTTTTATTTTAGCTATAAATATGGAGCAGGAGGAGCAGCACAGGAGGTGCTGCCCCATCCTGAGCCTGTCACCTCCACAGCAAGGGGCTGCTTCCCAGAAAGGGACTTCTCCCCCTGCTTTGCCCTCAGATAAGGTGATACGGTTTGAAGCTGGCTCCCTGCCAAGTCTCCAAACCTTACCAGGAGCAAGAGAGGGCTTACTGGGGGATTACTCATCCTGAGAGCTCCCACTGCGGAGCAGAGGGGAAGAGGAGATTCCTGGCACCTTTGTCTATTCGATGCTTATCCCCCTCGGGCACCAGTGTGCTCCAGGGATGGACACTGTGCTCCCACAGCCTTTGTCTTTTGCTGGAAGCTGCAGCCCGGCAGGGGAGGGCAGGTGGGGTTGACACAGCTGCAGCAGGAGAAGGAGCCGGCACGCTGACTCCCACGGCAGCTGCAGCGGTGGGAAGCAGCACGTTTTTATTCTGGCTGGTACAAAACGTACCCTTGCTAAAAAGGCAGGAGAAGGCAGACTGCAGCACAGCCACCTGTGTGGCAGGAGGTGCCTCGTGAG